GGGGGGGTTTAGTTAGCGTTAGGGGGGTTATGAAGAAACCTTTCCTATTTCTGTAGGGCCTTTCTCGTGTCTCGGGACCAAACCTCCCACGAAACGGTGACGGAGTGGGGCGGCGGGGGGTGTTCGGTGATGAAAAACACAGCGGAGCGCGGGTAGATATCGCCACAGAGAATAAAGTTGGTTTTTTTTTTTTTCCTTTCCCCCTTTAGGTTCCGGCCCTTTGTGCCGCACATCCCCTTTGATTTCTATGTCGTGAGTAACCCTCTCCTACGGAGCTGTTTGCAGGCAACAGCTGCGGGACTTTTTCTTGTTTAAAGATGCATCTTAAAACCCTCGTTTGCTGACTTTGATGGTTTGACTTCTTTTAGCGTAGCCGGATTCACTGAAAATGCTGTTGGTTCAGTAACTAACCTGGAATAGATCTTCTTACTGTCTGTGTTGTGTGGAGTACTTGTGTCACACAGGATGACTAGGACGCAGTTGAGTAATAACCACAACAAATAAATGCCTTGATTGAGGTTTTTCTGCTTTTTCAAGGACCCTCAGTTCTGCCAGCTCTCTGTAACACAAACCTCACGGGTTACCCCAGTAGCCGTCACTCGCCTGTCAGATGTTCTCCAGGCTCTTTTGCCGTGTCAGTCCTCACAAGGACACACATTTCCCACCTTTTTATAGGAGAAAATAATTTCCCCTTCTTGCTGAGCATCTGCCCTTTACAGACACGTGACTTCCAAGGCAAACAAGTTCACTTAACTCTTGCCTTCCAGGCCCTGTGTCTGTGAATCCCATCGTAACAACCGAAAAGCTCCGGCCAGCTGCAAACAAAGGGTGTTATTCTTAAGGGACTGTAATATAGTTAATAAAAACTCTCTTGATAGACCCATCCTTAATTAGATCTGCCCTGTCTCACACCCCGTAGCTGCACGGGCATGCTGGCGGCTCCTCTGCCATTTCTGAAGACCTGCCGTTCCTGTCGCAGCACGGCAAGAGCACACGGGCAGGACAGGCAGCTGCTCTCCGTCCCTTAGGATAACGTGAAAGCGAAATTATAAAAGCAACACGTGAAAAGCACGATGGGGAATCGCAATGGAAACAAGTGCTGGAGAATTTAGAAAAAAAAAATGGAGTAAATTTTGCTGATGAGTGGGTTGAACCAAAGTCATTTTTCTCGGGCCTTGCAGTCTGATATCTGATCCCGTTGCAGTGCGAAATGGCTTTCCCCCGCGTAAAACCTGCCGCTGATGAGACTGCGTTCAGCGAAGCCTTGCTGAAGAGAAACCAGGATCTCGCTCCGACCGCTGCTGAACAGGTTTTGTGCTGAAAATTGCCTTCAGTTCTTTGGCTGGATGTTACTGTAGTGTTAGAGAACGCAAAGACAGGCTGTCCTTCAGAGCACACAGCCATCAGCAGTCCTTACTAGCCTAAAAAGTAATTAGTTCTCTCTGAAATAAGCACTGCAGTAGAAATAAACACGGACGTTTCTTTTATCCGTTTATTATCTACCTTGCATCACGGCTGTCTGCATTATGCTGTGCAAGATCAGATTATTTCAAGTCATACTGGACAACCGACTGGTAACCCCTCTCCAATTCCATTCCAGGCTTCCATTCTTTCTCTGGTGACCAAAATAAACAACGTGATTGACAATTTAATTGTAGCGCCAGGAACGTTTGAAGTGGTGAGTCCGAATGTGGCGAGCTTGGAAAAAACACTACGTGGGGAAATGCTTCGGCATGAGGGATGCCAGTGTTCTAGCTACCGAACCTGGCCCAAAGCAGATTAAAGATTCATGCCGTCTCCCAGAAACGTAGCACGCGCATTAAATTCACTAATTTTTGTTTTGTTCTGTCAAACAGCAAATCGAGGAGGTTCGCCAAGTGGGCTCCTACAAGAAGGGCACCATGACAACAGGGCACAACGTGGCTGATCTGGTTGTGATTCTGAAAATCTTACCCACCTGTGAGTATCGGTTGCGCGGCTGCTGACAAAACTGCGACGCTCGGCCCCGCTCTGACCTCCTCTTCCTCCGCTTCTCCCTAGTGGAAGCTGTGGCAGCCTTGGGAAACAAAGTCGTGGAAAGCCTGAGAGCGCAGGACCCCAGCGAAGGTGGGACGCTCTCCTGTAGAGAGGCCAGGGTCGAGGAGGACGTAGGCACTTTCCCCTCGGGTTTGTCTGAAGGGGACGGTGCCCAGCCTGGCACCGCTGCCAAAATCTGTGGTCTTTCCTGCATTCCCGGGTGCCGGTAAGGTCTCCCAGCCCCTCTGTAATGAATTGTTATTTTTTTTTTCTCCCCAGTCCTGACCATGCTGACCAACGAGACCGGCTTTGAGATCAGCTCGGCCGACGCGACGGTGAAGATCCTTATCACCACGGTGCCGCCCAATCTCCGCAAGCTGGACCCCGAACTACACTGTAAGGGCTCAGCTTGTTCTGCTCTGCACCTGAAGCTTCAGCCGGGGTGGGGGGGAAGGCAGCGGGCCTCCCCTGGCCCACACCTACTTTCAGCTGAAAAAAAAAAACCAAAAACCCAGGCATTTCTGCTGCTTCTTTCAGTGGACATCAAAGTGCTGCAAAGCGCCCTGGCTGCCATCAGACACGCTCGCTGGTTCGAGGAGAATGCTTCGCAATCCACGTGAGTTTGGCCTTAAAAACAGGAACTGCGTTTCTGAGGCTCGGTCGAAATAATCTCCTTTACAGAGACCAGGGGGGAAAAGCAAGGAGAGCTGTTCCTGCAGCAGGAAGGCGCGTGACGCGTTACGAACCCTCCTCCTGCTGTCTTCTCCAGGGTGAAGGTCTTAATCCGGCTGCTGAAAGACCTGAGAATTCGATTCCCTGGCTTTGAGCCCCTCACACCGTGGATTCTGGACCTGCTGGTGAGCGCACGAGGAGGAACGCCGATGGTGTGCCAGGCGTGCCATAGCTGACTCGGAGCTGCCTGCACCTCCCCGGGCTCCAGCAGCAGCAGGATTTGGGATTCTTACGCTTCCTTCGGCGGAAGCTGCTCTCATCCCAACTCCCTCTTTCTTTTTTCACCTCTTCAGGGGCATTATGCCGTGATGAACAACCCCACCAGGCAGCCCCTGGCTCTCAACATCGCCTACAGGTCTGTTGCCATTTGCTTCACTCGTATAAATCCATTACCAGCTCAGTTTGGAACGCACCAAATCAAAGCGGTGGCATCTGAGGGCTTGAAAGGACCTGAACTGAAGACAAAGCAGACTCCTCACCTAGATGTGCTAATTGCAGACTTTCTGGCTGCGGTTCTGTGCTGGAACGGCCCAGTTTCTAACCCAAAACATCTTGTCCCGTAGGCGCTGTCTTCAGATCCTGGCCGCGGGGCTCTTCCTCCCTGGATCTGTTGGTATCACCGATCCCTGCGAGAGCGGGAATTTCCGAGTCCACACAGTTATGACCCTGGAACAGCAGGTGAGCTGCGGCGTCTGCTGCAGGAGACGGGACGAGAACCTGTCCACGCTCTTGACTCTTCCCCGTTCCCACAGGACATGGTGTGCTACACCGCACAGACGCTCGTCCGCATTCTCTCTCACGGAGGCTACAGGAAAATCCTCGGCCAAGAAGGTGACGCCAGCTGTAAGTGGGTCTTCCTCCACGCAGGCTGTCAGCGTCTCGGTGGGGGAACGGGACGGGTTTTCTGTGTTGCCGGAGAAAATTAAGAGCTCCAAGGAGAAGCGGCTCGTTAAAGCCCAGAGCGGTGGGGGGGCAAAGTGGGGTGTTGTGCTTCCCCATGCACATCCTCGGGAGGGGGCTTGTCTGCACGTCTCAGGGTCACCCCCTGAGCCTCTGGTTTTGCAGACTTGGCTTCTGAAATGTCCACGTGGGATGGAGTGATAGTGACGCCTTCTGAGAAGGCTTACGAGAAGCCTCCGGAGAAGAAGGAAGGAGAAGAGGAAGAAGAAAATCAGGAAGAACCCGCTACAGGCGAGGAGGAGGAAAGCATGGAGACACAGGAGTGACTCGCCCAGGTAAAGCCTGTCTGGGAGAAGGCAGCTGGGGGCAGAGGAGGG